AAATATGTGTCTCTAACCCTAGAGTGAATTATTGCTAGATGTATTTAAAAAACGATTGCGTTTCGCTTTAGCCATTTTACACGAATTTACAGAAGCTGCAAAACGTAATGATTTTACCGACTCTACAAAACAGTCTAAGAAAGGTGCCACGTTAATAAACATTAGCGTTTTTGAATTGCCTCCCAATGATGGCATTAATAAATGAGTTAACTTGGAATTGCGATAAGGTATATGATCTTGTTTTTGTAGTAATGCTAATATGACATTCGTAAGCTCGGAAAGCGAACGATTTATGTTTTTAGTTTCGTTCATGCGTATGCTGGTCTTAGGAGACTCAGAGCCTGCTAAATCAACGAGATTTATCGTTCCCACAGACGTCTCGTTCTTCTCAGCATGATAGCCAATAAGTTCTATTTTAGTGACAGCATGGGAACGCGATGACCGCTCGTTGCCGGCAGTAGCCGCTGTAGCTCGGTTCATTTTCGCCACATCCATAAGATCTCGCAGACGAGATGCCGACGTAACAGTCTCCTGAGTTATATTTGAAACATAGATGTCGTTCTTGTTGTGCTTGGCCATGCGAATTTCCATATCTTTTTGCTCATTGCTTAACAGGTCGTATAGCACTTCGTTGTAGATTTCCAAAAATGTTACCCGTATTTCATATACCCAACCAAGACGTTTATAATTTTTGATCGAATCAAAGAGTAAATCAACGGTACGTGGAATTACACCCACATTGGTTGGNGAAATGTTACCCGTATTTCATATACCCAACCAAGACGTTTATAATTTTTGATAGAATCAAAGAGTAAATCAACGGTACGTGGAATTACACCCACATTGGTTGGTACACCATCCATTGTGTATGTCTTACCACTGCCAGTTTGTCCATAGGCAAATATACAAATATTGTAACCATCCAATGCAGACTGTATTAGAGGTGATACCATCTCAAAGATATCCTCCTGTTTCGAGTTTGGATGGAAGACGTGATCGAATGAGAAAGCATGCGCCACGCTTTTATTCTTGTTTTCATAATTTTGTATCTCAACAGTAGATTCATCGATGTAATTCCAACCACAAAGCATTTTTTCTTGTTCAAAGTCCAATGGCGGACGAACACGACAAAACACTCGTATGTTACCTCGTAAATCCATAATAGTGTTATGTAGTTCTTTGCGTTCCAAATTGGCTCTAAACAATTGCTCTTTGCAAGCAGTCAAATCTTCGTTTAATATATTATTTTCCGCTGTTAAACGTGTCGTTCGCTCGCGTAGATCCATAACTTCATTAGTTATAGTATCGTGTGCTTCTTTTAGGATCTAGAAAATGAAAAATCAGAAAAACTAATGTCTAATTTATTGTCTGTATGTACAAACCTTGTGCTCCTTAGTTATGAAGTCCAATTCTTCTTTTGTATTTACAAGTGAACCTGAAATCGAGTCAATCTTCAAGTTCAAAGATTTAATTTGCTGACACAAGCAGTCACGTTCGGTATAAAGGTTTTTCAGCTCTTCTTTAGT